CACACACACACACACACACACACACACGCACACACACACACACACACACAGACACACAGAGGTGCGAAAGTTGGTGTGATCAAGATTGCCCAAGTTAGCAATGAAGATCATTCCGATGTCCTTGTTCTTGGTGATTAGGACTGTCTGCTCAGTTCCCAGCTTTTGTCAGCTGATGCCATGACCTGGGCACGATAATATTTGGGCGGCATTGAATGACCTTTTGAGTGCACCAACGTTGGCGATTTTTCAAGCTCAAGTTTTGATGAACACTCAGAGGAAAAATCAGAGTGCTGATCTTTTCAGGAATCGAAAACGAAGAAGGTCGCAACACAGTGGATAGCAAAAGAAGAATTCAACAAGCAAAAGCACATATGTGTGCCCTATGTGTGCTCTATGTGTGCTCTATGTGTGCAAAAATCAGTAGGTCAGGATGATCACAGTGGATAGCAAAAGAACAATTCAACAAGCAAAAGCACATATGTGTGCCCTATGTGTGCAAAAATCAGTAGGTCAGGATGATTTTCCTGGGGGGCGGTAATGGTTTCCGGCATGCCAACTCTTGCTTGTCGCTGGCCATGCTCAATTGGGATGTCTGGTTGCTTGCAGGTGAGCCGCAAGGTACTAGCCTGGTAATTCCTAGAAGCTGCTGGGAAGATGTTGAAGTTGAGCCTTCATACAGCTACTTTGGTGGAATGGAGGGAGGGTCCGAATGGACCTGGTTCCTGTCTCAGGAGTACCTGGATAATCCCAGTGAGGAAAGCTCTGACCTGCACATGTTGGCAACAAGAAGGTAAAGTTCTGTGTCCTGGCAGTCACACGATGTTTTTGATTTTGAACGTGTTGTCTGAGTTCTGTTGCAGGTTTTTCTTCGCCTTGCCTTTCCACTTCACCTTTTGTTCACGAAAATAAGCACTCCCCCCCCAGAGTCTGCACCATCTTTTTTTTCAATGTCATTTGGGAATGGAACCAATCCTACGTAAGTCTGAATTGCTACTAGTTTCATCCGTATACCCGCTCTGAACTCTTACTTCTGGCAAAGGTCTGCATGCTCTGCTCCCGGACCTTGGTGACGTTGAAGCATAGCCCAGGGTTTATGCTTTTCCTACAAGTCAAGTACAAGGTTATTTGCTGGATGGCAGGTCCATATATTCATGTTTCGGATTTTTGGTTCTTCATTTGGGCATCAGGTTAGTTTATGTGGAGATTGTTAATCTTACAATGTTAGGTAGGTGTAGTATGAGTTTGATACTTGTCAGCTCTCTCTCTCTCTCTCTCTCTCTCTCTCTCTCTCTCTCTCTCTCTCTCT